ACCTGACATCGCCTCACCTAGACTTCGAGACACTTTCAAGGTGCACGTCGTGGCTCATGCTAGCGACAACCACACGGGAAGTCCTGCTACCACCCAGACACAGAGCTCCCCGGAGCAGTGCCACGTGGCCGCCCAGCTCCCGGCTAACGCCCAAGTCTTTTTGGAGTCCGTGCGACTCAGTGTCTTCCAAAAATAGAGAAGTTATTGACCCAGATTCGAACACATCAATAATACCGCCTAGCAACAGGGTTTGCTACAAACTAAGAGTTCAGAACTTGCTGACTCGGAGTCTGCCAGGCCTAAACCCCACTGAGAAGCCTTGGCCAGCAGCGCTGAGCACCAGCAAGTCCTGCACCACGCCACAGCACTCAGGCCTCGCCACAGGGCAAGAGCAGCCTGCACACCAAGCCCTGCTTCTCTTCTGTCCACTTTGTCCCCACAAGTAAGAGAAACAGACCACACCGCTAAGAGGGTCCTGCCAGGGCGACCCACCCCACACCTCTGCCCCAAGCCATCCCCAGACCATGGACACTCCTGTGGCTGGCACACTCAGGGAGCTCTCTGGATCAGAATCTGGAACCCTCCCTCCTGGGTCGCCTTGCCCAGCATCATGGTTCTGTTTGCCTGTGTTGTAGATTTTTGCCAAAGGGCACCTACACTCAACAGAAAGACAGAGACCAAGAAAGTGAGAAAGCATCCCTGGGGGGTGGCCACGCCGTCATCTCTTCTCCTCTGATCTCCTCTGGGGACCTGGGGGACAGACACGCACACACACACACACACAGTGCCTGGTAGGTTTTTCAAGTTGCCAGGTCTGGGATTCAAACTGCAGAGTCAGCCACATGGATTCCAGTGCCTTAACCTCCGTGCCACCTGCTGGCCTGCCAGGAATAGTGCTTTAGCCACTGCACCACTGTCCAGCCCACAGACTGATGTCCTGCCTCTTTATACACTTTCTTACCCTCAGACACTCCTACAGCTAGGCAAGGAGCTCGTCGCCTCCCCTGCAAAGGCAGTCTGTGGCCTTTTAAAAAAAATGGATTTTATTTATTTTTATTTAACTTTATTTACTTAGTTTAATTCGACCAAAGAGGTGGGGTGAGAGAGAGAGAGAGAAAGAGAGAAAGTGAGAATGCCAGCCACCAGGCCTGGGACTCTAACCATGGTAGGCCACGTGGGAGTCCTGCACCTTGACCACTGTGCCATTTGCCAGCCCCTCAGTCCTGTGGCTCTTAGAATGCTTGAGGGTTTTTCGCTTTTGTTTTTCAGAGCCTTCTGAAAACCCACACCAATTACAAACTCTATCGTAGCTGCCATTAACTCTGAACGCCGAACTCCCTTAGACAAGGAAGCGCCCCCACCCGTGCTGTCATCAGAGTGCACACTGTGCTGAGCGCACACCTCGCACCTGGCCGGGGCTGTGGCCACCAGGGCTGTGGCCGCCTGGGCACGCCTCCTTGCTGTGCACCGTCTGCACTACGGCAGAGCCCGCACCCCTGTAACTAGCCACGCGAGCAGCACCACCCCTGCTTAGCCTCCCCAAATGCACGCCTGTCACCCTGACTCCATCTTCATGCGAGAACAAATGGCTCTGTCTAGAACACCCATGGGTGCTCCTAGAACCCAGGACAGGCTGGGGACTAGAGAAGCAGGCACAGTCCTGATCCCATTAATAGGCACCTGTCTTCCGGAGCTCGACTCTCACCAAGGACTACCTGGATGGGGCCCTGAGTCCCTGAACAGCTGAAGGTCTGGCCCACCTGGGTCACACACCCCACCACGAGGAGCGGCCCTCACCCAGAGCCTACAGTTTAGGTCCAGCTCCAACTCACGCTGGCTGGCCCACTGGCCGCAGCCAGGGCAGGGACGAGGTGCAGGCTCCGTGAGACGCACAGGCCGCCGGGGAGGGAGCAAGCAGCATGGTGACAGCGACCTGCACTCTGAGAAGCCCGAGGCCAGCGCTGCACAGAGACGCGACAACACAGCCCAGGTTACACAACATGGGGGCGGGGAGGCCTGGGGAGGCCTAGGGAGGCCGGTGCTGGTAAGAAGGAAAGGGCCTGGTCGCCAGCCGGAGGGTGGTGGATAGCCGTGTAGGGCAGTCTCCAGCCGCAAGCCCGTTCTCCGATGACGGCTGATGGGAGAGTTCAAGATGAAGGGGACACAGGGCCGGCGTTGCAGTTACGGCGCCAGACTCCCACATGGCCAGCCACAGTTGGAGTCCCTGACCTGGCAGCTCGTTTCCTCACTTTCCCTTTCTCTCTCTCTGGTCAAATTTTAAAATAATGATTAATAAATTAATTAAATAAATAATTCTTTAAAAGTAAGACTAAGAGAACCAAACCATGGGTCTACAAACTGAAAACAGCAGCAGTAACATTCATGGCTTGGTCCAGAAGAAGCTCTGCACCCCGGCCTGCATGCCCGCCTGGGCCTCGCGGTGGCAGTCTGGGCTGAGGCAACACCACACAGACAGCGGCACGGGGGATCCTGCCGTCTGTGGAATTACACAAGGGGAGACCCTGGGCCACATCTGCCTGCATGGGAATGAGCCCTTGACCCTCGAGCCCTGTCCTCTGCGGGCTGAGGGAGGAGCCAGTGGGCTCTCCGATCCCAGCCGGCCCCTGCTTCCTCGAGGTGAGAGCAGTGTTCCGGGCCTTCCAAAACATCGTTCCATTTCGCACGTACCGGCTCGTTTGGAAGAGAAACCCATGCTGAGCAGGGTAACAACAGCAGTGAGGACGGGCCAGATGGAAAAACGCATTTTCCCCAAGTGGAAGAGCAGAATGGATTTGCCAAACAGACCTGCCAGAAAAGTCAGCGCCGTACGGACACGGACCGTCTGCTGAAGTCACGAGGCACAGGATTCCATGACAGAGAGGGTGCCGGGTGTCGGGAGCCCGCAGTGTCTGCCGTGGGCGCTGGCTGCTGCTGAGGCTCTGACAGGAGGCCCTCGGTCCGAGGGATCATCAGACCAGAGGGTAAGAATGGAGATTGTGGAGGAGAAAAGGGAGCAGTCCTACAGGGAAGAGGCGGACGGGGCGTAGAGAACGCCTCGCACAGAGAGTGGCAGAGACAGCAGCCCTGCTCATCTCTAGTGGGGCTGCATGAGAGCAGCGGGGAGACCTGGGCAGAGCCACCTGCAGCCAGTGACAGGAGCGAGGGCTCGCTGTGCCGGGACGGCGAGGCCTAGACACCGTGGGAGAGAGGGCATTAGGAAAGGCCTTCTCCAGGGACTCCGGGTGGTGACACCGCTGGCGTCACTGACGTCTGTCTGGGGCCCTGTCCGGAGTCCTGGGGCTGCGCGGGAGCCCACGCACCTGCCGCCCTGTTACTAACCCTTGGACTCTCCGCCCCCGCCCTCAGGACCCAGGCTCCAGCCGGGACGGTGTTCTCTGTGATGGCAGACAAGCACATCGCGCTGACGGGGTAACACTGGTGCCACGGCCAGCAGGTAGTGTGGTAGTTAGGGTGGCTGGATGCCACGTGGGTGACAGCAAGTTCAAGTCCTAGACCCAGCAGCTCAAAAAGCACGCCAGGCACGCGCATGTGCGTACCCCAACCCTGAAAGGAAGATGGAGAAGGGACGGCCACGTGGCCAGTCCCCCGGGGGATGCTTTTTCACCCCCATCCCCACTCTCTCTTCCAGCAAGTGCACACACCATGAAGCAAACTTTTTTTTTTTGGGAGAGATTTTCACTGTAGGGCGCGTGCGCTCGCCAGACAGACAGAGAGAGACATAGAGACAGAAAGCGAGAAATCACCCCCCAGGGGGGATGGTCACGCCGCAATCCCTTCTCCTCCATTCTCCTCTCGGGATCTTGGGCAGGCACGCACACGCGCGTGGCGTGAGTTTTAAGCCACCGGGTCTGGGACCCGAACCGCGGGCGACTACGTGGGAGTCCAGCGACATAGCCATTACGCTAACTACTGGTTCCCCATGAAGCAAACTTTTTAAGAAAAGAAACCCTGATTCTATTTCCTAAGTTTCAATAGACTTTTGTTTCCGATTATAGCAGAAACAAAGGGACTGTCTTTGTAGAATGCCACTTGTGCATGAGTTCAGACCCAACGGCATTTCAGCCATGGTGACCCCCCACCAGCACAGACCCGAGCCGCTCACTGGCTGGAAGCAGAGGAAGCCCCCATGGGAGGCCACGGAGGAGGCCCGAGAAGCGCAGAGCAAGGTGAGGAGCCTGACTGCTGACACGCAGAGGGGGTGGCGAGACTCCTGGGCACGTCTTTGGCTCCGACGAGAGCATCTACTCCGTACTCCCACGCCACAACTGCTGCACCGCTGTCCGAGGAAGACCCCACGCGTGCTATCAAGATCAAACTGCCTAAAGCTGTCCCACTCCGCGCTCCAAGGGGTCAAGAGGAAGCCCAAGGCTGTGGCTTCCTTCTGCCCAGATGCACGAACACCCCCAGGCGCTCCAGCCCCGACGGACACTGCAGGCCTGGCTGGTGATGAGAAGGAGTGGGGACCACCCACGAGCTTGGTAGAGACCACTCTGCTTACGACTCTCGCGGCAGCCCCGGGGTACACTTTATGCAAAAGGAAGAGTGTCGGACTCCGTAAGGACAACTGGGACGTGGTACCTGCCTCTTGGGCAGAAACTCAAAGGAGTTCAGGAAGAGAGACCCCCAAGCCACCTGCAGCCTCACTCCGTCCTGGACAGCAAATCTCTCTGAAGGCCTTCACGCCAGGGACCTGGCTTTGCAGACCACCCTTTTCCAGGCGTGTTCAAGGGCCAGTTACCCTCTCAGCAGCAACCTCATCAAACGTGAGGAAATGCTAACTCGGAGTTCTCCGCCAGGCGGGAGCTACCGAGCAATCTCACAGGGAAGCGAAGGTGGCCCCGGGGCGACACCCTCCTCCGGCGCCACCACGAGTAAGCCCAGCACTTCTGCAGCCCTCCGTGAGAGCCATGACCCCTGGGAACGCCGTGCTCGAGCTCCATGCACAGCGGGCCACTCGGCAGTGGGCAGAGAGCACCTACCTGTCCGTCCTGCCCCACGTGGTGGATCTGGAGGTTGCCCTGCAAGAGAAGGAGGAAGCCGTCAGGGACAGGGCAGCTCAGACACAAAGGTAAGGGCCGCCCATGCCACTCGGACCAGGGAGCCACTGCAGCAGCGAGCCGCAACGGCACGGCACGGCACGGCACGGGGAGCCCGCAGGCTCCGGGCTCTCCTCTGTTCTTATAAAGGCCAGCAAACACAGCCGCTCAGAGGACACCACACACATCCCTGGCCTCAGCACCAAGTCCAAGTGTCACCTTCCTTATTGCTTCTTATTCTGAAACCATCTTGGACTCACGAGGAGTAGCCTAGCCAGTCCGTGTCCCAGGCCGCCTCCCCCATGAGCAGCACAGCAAGACAGCAGCACCAGCAGCGGCGTCAGCCGAGCGGGTGTAACTCAGCCACCGACCTGCTCGGCTCCACAGGGAGAGAGTCATTCTCATTGTTTTAAAAAAAAGGTTTAAAAGGGCTGGTGATAGGTTAGGTATTCTCAGTTTAGCAAAATAACTCATTTTAATCGCCCCGGGTAAGGCCTCATTATCATAAGAAGGCTGCATATCCTAAGTCATCACAAGAGACCACGGGTACCAGCAGCAATCCTTCTCACCTACTGGATCCAACCTCCAGTGGAAACAAACGGTACAGAACTATACAAATAAGGTGGATTCAGTTTGCAAGACTGAAACAAAATAAACATTAAGAAATTCCAAGTCAAAAAGTAGTCTCAAGGTTATAAAAGCCAGGTGTGTTGACTCTGTTTTAACCACTGTATCCGCTTTCAAATGGTCACACTCTGGGGAAGCGTCCATGCCTTCATGGCTGGCCTCTGGGACTGGCATCCAGCTCCCACGGGCTCCCGCCCCAGGGCATCGCAACTGCCTGCCAGCCTGGGCTGTGGAACGGCCAGTAGTACCCTCCCAGCAGCTGGACCGCCCTGGGCAGCTGGAGGACATCAGGCCAGGCAGGTAAGCCGGCGCCCCGGGAGCTCTGGATCGGGCCCCCTTGAACCACCGCACTCACACCGGCCCTTGGCAGCTCAGGGTGAGGTGGTGCTCTGAGACCACACGGGCCTGACAGCCCATAGCCCCGTGGCCGCGTCGCTGGCATACACGCACGTGTCAGTGTTGTGTGATGAGAGGATTTGCTGCCCTGTCCGTGCTAATCACAGTCAGCGGGACAGTTTCGGGGGCCCAGACCTCTGGGAGGGGACAGACGCTCCCGGGAGGAGCAGGGGTAAGAGCCAGGCATGGCCTCCCAGTGTGACCTCACGGACTCCTCAGCTCCACGCAGCGGTACTGGTCCCCTGTGCTGGGAGGGAGCTGGGCTGGCAGAGTCACCCCTGCAGGGTGACCACTCTCCACCTCACCAGGGGCCTCCCCAGGAGGGAAGGGCCGAGAAGGCTGCCAGAGAGATTCCCCTTCGGAGCAGAGGAGCCCACACAGCAAGTCTTCACAAAGACAGACAGACAAGAGGTGTGCAGACAGACAGGCAGCACAGCCTTGTTCCCAAGGCCCTAGCGCTGACACAGAATGGTCCAGGGAGCTGAGGACACGGAGCCCGCGGGGGCAGTGCAGCGAGCCAGGTGGCCGGACTCACCTCGCTGTCCTGCGTGATCTGCACCTGCTCCCCCTGAGGCACCTGGGCGATGTGGAGGTGTCCCTGTGGGATCCGCAGCAAGAGGACAACAAGAAGCATCAGGAGGAAATCGAGACCCAAGGAAACAAGAACCGTTTTCCGGAACGTCTGTTTCCACTATCTGCTCACGGGCGAGAGGAGCCTAATCCCGAGCAGCGCAACCCTGCGCATGTGGAGGAAAGCCTCTCAAACCCCTCTGTAACTCCGAGTTAACGGCGTGGCTGCAGTGTTTCCCGAAGGACAAGGGGGCCTGGGACGCACCTGTCCTGCCTTCAAGTGTCACTGAGCGAGTTAACTCGCGAATGTGAGGGACAGAGGGAACACCTGGATGGCTACTCTTTCTCCAGTTACACTTCCAGCTGGAAAGCCCAGAGCTCTGGAGGGTCACCAGGGACTTTCTGGTCGAGTCGGGATACAGGAGGGTCTCTGGCAACATGTGGTTGCTGTGGCTCACAGCTGCAGACAGACTGCCCTGCCAACAGGCCGGGCGGGAAGGTCCACGTGGCTATCTAAACAGCTCAAATACTCAGTGTGGTGCCAAAAAATCATGGAGTCCCACTCAAACACAGGCAAGGAAATCGTCCTGTAAAGTTTAACTTAGCTAAATGAGATGAATGCTCATCATCTGATGTGCCTTCTCAGGCTAGATGTCCCGTGTAAGCCTACGTGGAAGGCCTCTGCTGAGTTCTCGCAGAGCTTCCTTCCTTCCGTGACAGTGGCAGCCTCTGTGACGTCGAGCGAGCAAACGTAACAGGCCTGTTACATTCACGACTTGTAGCCACCTCGCCGCCTTCGCAAGTGAAGGAAGAAGCCCTCTGAAAGTGCCTGCTCGGCATTTTCTGGAAGCCTTCCCTTCCAGGCACAACCACGCTGCGCTGGGATGAGAAGCGTGCCTTACAGAGCCCGCAGATCCCCCGCTTCCCGAGAAGGCTGGGGGCGGCATGGAGCTACATCTTGATGGCATCTCCTGAAGCCCCCCAGGAGCTGGGCGACCTCGAACACTGACCCCAGCTCCCTGGCCAGGTTTCTAAAGGCCTTCCTTCCCTTCCTGCCACCTCCCACCCTCGCGCTGCAGGAGCCGTGCAGTCTACAGAGGTTCCTCGACCGGGAGCTGGCCCAGCTTGGCCCTGGGTGCCCCGATGCAAAGGCCGAGAAGGGGAGGCAGGGCGCGCTGGCTCACGGCCGAGGCCACGCCTACACGCTGGTGCTCAGGGCACCTCCAAAGGAAGCACTACGTGGTGCCTTGGCCGCAAGTGTTTCCCATGGTCTGCAGAGAGAGCCACGTGCCCTTCCCTCAGCAGATGTCCGTGCTCCAAACTGGGCCGTGAGCGGTCTCCTGCTTCCTGGGAGGACAGGCAGAAGCAGAGCCCACTGGGCAGCTGAACCTGAGCTGACAGGGCAGCAGACTGTGAGGGTGAGGACCGGTGGCCGTTCTCCCACACTGTGACTGCAGCCACACAGCGTCGTCACCAGCAACGAGAAGGCCGCACTCTGGTCAGAGGCCCTGCGGGGCAGCCTGCAGTGTCCCCAGCTGGCTGCCCACCTTCCCCCGAGGCCCACCACAGTAGCGAGAAGGGTACATACTACTTGGACCTGTCCGTCCTCGCCGATCTGGTGGATCTGCACCTGCTGGGCGTTGGCCAGGGCATAGTGCAAGGCCTGGGGCTGTGGCTGCTGGAGCTCGCTGGCAGGCGGCGGGGTGCCCATCATGGTCTCTGTGGGGCGAGAGGCATGCTCGTTAAACAATGGCCACCAGGCCCCTCTTGTCCCTGACCTGTGACCCTCCCCCACCAGAAGAGGAAAAGATTAGCCGTGCTCCAAGCCATGGACCGAGGTCTCTTCACGGAGAGCAACATGGCCCGGTTTGCATAGCTGAGACTCCCAGCAGGCACCAGTGCCCAGACTGAGCATCGCTTCCCGACTACACCCCTCCTAGTCCCATCGCCTTACTTAAATGAAGGCAGCTCCTCAGCACAGATCTGCAGGAAGGAAAAATGAAACCATCTGCTCTATTGTTTCAGACCAGCAGGAAGTATCAATAGCATTTGTCTGCGGATAATTAAACAAGGGGAGAAGCCCACCCACTCAGAGACACGGTGCTGGACAACCTCCCGCTGTTTAATCGGGATGAGAGCACACTTGCTCAGATGTACTGCATGTCAATGTGGGCACGTGTCTGTCTGTGTCCCCGAGACACCGAGGACGTCACGAGTGCAGAAAGCTGCTTTGGACGTGCACGCATCGTGACTGAGAGAAGCAGGTGATGAATCAAAATCTTTGAAGCATAGAAATATACTACGATGAAATTCTGTGAGAGACGAATGGAAAAATGAAAGGTAAAATTTCTGCTTGTTGCAGCTTTTCATGCAGATTTTTAGCAGCTAACGGTAAGTGTCAAACTGCCACGGTATGTGGAATCACAGAGTGCATTTTTAAACATTCTAACAGTAATAAGAGGTTAATACGATACACTGGAAAGGACATCCTTTGCACTTTGAACCATATCGACCAATTTTAGGTGTTAACTTTTTAAATATCAACTTAAAAACACGCAGGAGTGGACTGCCACAGGCTTCAGTAAGAGGAGCGCCACAGCTCTAGATAATAACCAGTCACTAAATCGCGTGTGTGCAAATGCTAATCGACCATCTGAACGGTTCAAGGATATCAGGGAGAGTGGCAATGCCCAGAGTTCTTTCTCTTTTCTTGGGAGAGAGATTTTTGCTGTAGGTCGTGTGTGCTCGCCAGAGAGAGATGGAGAGACAAAGAGCAAAAAAGTCACCCCCAGGGGGATGGCCATGCCGCAATCCCTCCTCCTCTCAGATTTTGGACACGCACGCACATGCGCCTGGTGTGTTTCCAGCCTCTGGGTCTGGGACCTGAATGGTAGTTGGCCATGCGGGAGTCCAGCGACATTACCATTACGCCGTCTGCTGGTCCCCAGAGCTCTTAAATAAATGAAAAGCACAGAAGCTATGGTCTGTGGGTAAAAGGCAATGGCTTCTGAATCCAAGACCTGCTTGGCTGAACGAGCAGCCGTTGCGGCCACACCCCGGGAAGACCAGTCCACGTCCACGCCAATATCTGCACTGACACTAGGTCCAGCACAAACCTGCAGCAGCTACTCGTCTGCAATCGAGGACAGATGAGAGCTGCAGCCAGGAACTGGAGCCATGCGCACGCTGCGGTGAGGTCAGGGAGCAGGAGGGGCTCCGGACCGTGCAGCCCGCGCAGCCCGTGCAGCCCGTGCAGCCGTGAGCTGAGCACAGGCATGCAAGAGGCCCTCGGTGCCCCTGGCCTGGGCGGCCTCCTTGTGTCCAGAGGACTCACTAAGAAAGCCGGCGTCAAGGGCTGGTGCTCAGTGACTCTCACATGCTGGCCTCTTGGCAGACACCCACCTATTCCGACTGACCTGGAGGCTCACCAGGAAAAAAAACGAACTGTATTTAAATCATGTTTAATTTGCCAGAGGGCATGTACACTCCTAGAGAGAGGGAGAGAAAAGGACCAGAAGAAAGCACCCGACAATTCCTTCTCCTCCACTCTTCATCCTGGTGGCGTTTGGGGCACACACACACATGTCCAGCATCTTCTTCAAGCTACACGGGCCAGGATTCTAACTACCAAGTGGGAGCTGGCTTGCTGAACCACCAGGCCACAGAGTTGGCCTGAACTGTATTTTATTGGATTTGATTTTAAGAGAGATTTCTGCCATAGGGTGCGTGTACTCACCAGAGAGACACAGAGGGAGACAGAAAGCAAGAAGTCCACCCCCACCCCGCCTTGGGGCATGGTCACGCTGCAATCCCTCCTCCCCTACTCTGCCCTAGGGATTGTGAGCACGCACACGCTTGCACCTGGCTGGAGTTTCAAGCTGCCAGGTTCGGAACTTGAACAGCAGTCAACTACGTGGGATTCCAGAGACGTAACTTTCGCCATCTGCTGGCCCCTCGAACTGTAACGTTAATGGTACAACTGGCCGCCTTAATCTGAAGCACACGTTAAAAATGTATGGCCCCACCACGCAGAAGCCTGACATCGACACCTGACCGAACCGATGTCTAAGCACCCCTTCCAGCTCAGGGCTTCGCGGTCTGTGCTCAGACCCCGGAGTGGGCTCACCTCGCAGCAGGCGCTTCTACACGGCCCGTGGGAGCCCCTTTCTGCTGACACCTCACAAGTAAGCAACACGCCCTGGCTGGAATGACCTACTCCTGTCACCAAAGCAGCCTTAACGTCAGTGTGTCAGTCCACAGGTCAGTCCGAAGAGTGATGTCTGACGCCCTGTCTGGTGGCCTCTACCTGGGCGCCCGCTCTGCTTTGTGCCCCAGCTAAGCCTGAACACGGGACAGAGCAGCCAAGCCGATGGAGGACGGGCTCCATTTTCTCAAAACGCATTCGACCCAGTGCTTGTGGGAGGGATGGCCCTCTGCCGAGGCCTGGGTCCCACGCAATCCTGAAAGGCCGTGCCTGGCTTTCTCAGAAGGACACACTAGACGCAACAGCTCAGAAACTCATCCTTCTCTCTAGGCAGACAAGCACACCTACCAGCCACGGGGCTCGAACTATGTTCACAGCACGCACCTGGGCTGCGGGAGCCCCCCTGGATTCCACCCTCCCTCCGAGCCGTGGCTTCTGGGCCTTGCCGTCTGCGTCCCAGGGTCCTGGGTGCCCAGCCACAGTCTGAACGGTGTGCCTGAAGGGCCAGAGTGACTCCACTTGTTTCGGGGCGACTCCATTTCGTTAAACCCCCCTTGCTGAGAATCGGCGCCATCTCAAGGGGGTGAGCTGGTCCCGCAGAAGAGGGTCATAGTGAGAACAGGAGAGGTACCAGAGGCCTGAAGCCACTTTCTCTCCCAACGTAGGTCTAAAGACCCATCAGTAAAGGACAGCTTGCTTGAGAATCCACAGCCCATGGGGAGCTGTGTGAGTGCCTTCCTCAGCAGCCCTCGGCCTCCTAACAGCCAAGTAGACACCCAGCCGACTAACACCGCTCTCAACTCTGCCCCGCTGTGCCGGTGAGATTGAGAGCCCTGGCCCAAGCCGGAATAAAAACGACCCTTGTGTGCTCACAGCGGATTCAGCTCCTTGTGGTCTTTTGGGAATTCTGTGACCGGGGCACTACAGTGCCCAGTGCCCAGCCATGCTCTGCTTACACGTCCCTGCTGCCACACGTGGTCTCGGGCACCACCTGGGCATTTGTCAGCAAAGCCACTCCTCAGGCACTGGACCTGCCATGAGCCAGGGGTCCCTGCAGGCTGAGCTTCTGCCTCGACCCCCAGGGCTCTTCCTTGATGGCTTACAGTGCCCCAGAGCGCCTAGCTCGGAGGGCAGCTCCGTGTGTCCTACGACCCCTTGGGGCTCACTGAGAACACGCACCAAGTACGGGCTGAGCTGCTGAGCTCTGGGGCAGACCAGGACGCTGGGACACAGACAAGGTCCCAGCTGAGCTCAAGCACCTCCCAGAACCTGCTGTCCTTCAGCCTCTCTGAGGGCCTCTGCTCCTGTCTGATTCTTCACGGAGGTGCCACCTGAGAAGGCCCAAGACCATGGATCTGAGTTCCCTGCAGAGCCAGGAGGCCTGCTCCAGCCAGTTCTCGGCAGAAAGCCAGCCCTGAGACAAAAGGCGGAGCAGCAGGGGCCAGGCACCTCCGGCCACACCGCCCCAGGCCCCTGACTCACTGCAACCGGCCTCCGAGCCGCGGGCGACCTGGCTCCAAACGTGCGAGGCCGACTTCATCTCATCCACTCTGCCCGCAAGGCCTTTCGGCTCCTCCCGTGCTGGCCACCGTGGCCTGCAGCAGAGCTCGCTCCTGAGGCCATGGGCAGGCTGCGCAGTGTGGACCTGACTCTCCACTTGGCCTCCCAGATGAGCACCGCCAGGCCACAGAGGCGGTGGTGCCGGCAGGTGCTCAGCCCCGCCTTCTTTGCCCTTTGAGGTGGAAGTGGCATTTTCACGGGGCCTTGTTCGGCCAGTCATCTCCGGCCTGGGCTCTCCCTATTCACTACTTTCCCGGCCACGGTCCCCTGCCTCTTGGTATTCTGGGATGGAGCCCAGACGCCGTTTCACTCTGCTGGGTGTCTGGGCACTGCTGCCTTCCTCTCATAGGTTGGCCTTGTGGTCCAGTGTGGTCCTGCCGCGGCGCTGGTGCCCCAACCGTACACCGAGGGCCCCACTCTGGCCGTGGGAGGTCACAGCACCCCCACTTTGGGGCAGGCATGACTCAGAACTTAGCAAAGCCTCGAAGGGAGCCCGGCAGACTTCAGAGCTCAGGCTTGGACAGCACGCCTGTCCTCAGACCCAGTCGCCACCTTCAGCTGCTTGGCCTCTCCACGCATTGTCCCCTCGGCTAGGACACAGCTGTTCGGCCTCTCCACGCATTGTCTCCTTGGCCTGGGCCCTCGCGCCACATGGTCCAAAGTGTGCCTCTGGAGCCCACCACGTGGTGACGACAGCTCAGCTCTGCCCCTTCTCCCGGGGATCACTGGCCTGCTGCCCAGCTCTCTCAGGCTGTCCACACCACCACGGCCCGAGGGGCAGGGCTGGCCTCTGCTACCGTGCATGACCCAGAGCCGGGATCTGCTCCCCTTCGTTATGAACGCACCTTCTAACTGTACAAGTGGAGTGGCCACCCTGGAAATACGGAAGCTGTGCCCAACGAGGGGAGGCCACGGCTCTAAGCCTGCTTCCTCTAGGTGGCACAGCTGACCTGGTCCGGAGGGGTCTCGGTCACCTGATCACATGGCATTGGTCTCTGATCGAACTACATCCACGCTCTGCTGCCCGGGAGCTGCCCCACAGCCCATCTCAAGTCACAACCGTACATCCATCGCTTGCTTCGATGCCACAGGCGTCCCCTCCCCAGGGAACTGTCTCCCACTTTCACGTGGGACTCCGAGCCGCATCACAGAGGCCTGGACCCCTCCCGAGAATTCTTTACACCTGACACTCAATACACGCTGCTGGACCAGCTTTGGGCCTGGTGGCTAAGGCAGCTGGTCCCACAGGGCTGAGTGTGCAGTTCAAGTCCCAGACCTGGTGGCCTGGGAAGCATACCAGCTGCATTGTGTGCCCAAGATCCCACAATGAGGCAGAGAGGAGGGGTGTGCCAAGACCGTGCCCCAGGGGCTCTCTCCCTCTCCTACTCCCCAGGGAGCACACGCACTCTCTGGCAAAACATTTAGAAACTGAAACCAGTGAGAACGCAGCATCAGGGGTGTGGCCCGTGTGGCCTACAGCAGCCGGCTACCTCCCATCTTCAAGAGCCTCTGGCAACAGCTAAGACCAGGGATCTGATGACTTCCCAAACAACTGGAAGGAGAACACATCCTGAAAGTCATTCACAAAGGACAGGACCTGGAGAATTCCAGGTGACCTGGCTCGAGACCCGTGGGGCTTCCAGAACAGAGTTCCAGTCCACGAAGCCTCCCCTTACAGAGAGCCTGCAGCAGCCCCACGGGCCCACGCCCAGGCCACGGTCAGAGCTCAAGTCCCAAAAGCTGCTGCAACAGAGCCGCTGCAGGGTGGGAAAGGACCGTTCTCGCGGGCATTCGCGGAGCTGCTCCAGACGTCCGGGTGAGAAGCACAGCTGGCCCTATGCAGCCCTCCGAGGGAGGCACCACCCATCCCCCACAACACCCAGGAGGTACTCGGAGAACCCCCAGCCCCACTGTAGGGGAGTGGGAGCAAGTCAGGACCGCCCACACCCACCCCTGTAGGTACCGCAGACCGCAGCCGCCTCACCTCCGCCCTCCACCCAGCAGCTGTGTGCTTGGGCACCCAGGCTGGGCAGGGTTCAGGGCTGCCCAGCCATTCTGTCCGGGTGCCAGCTGTGTCCCGCCTTGAGCCCATGCCCCACAGGGGGGCCTTGTCACCCGCCGCCCAGGATGGCCCTCACAGAAGGGCCTGAGGCCACCCAGTGTAAGATGAACAGACAGGCCCTGCAGGGGCTCACGAGCCCACCTACCCCTCTGCAGACAGCATCAGGGCCCAGGGCCAGGTCCCGAGTCTCCCCAGATCCCACGGGCTGGGCAGGCCTCACCCTGGACCACTGGGCTGAGGGGCACAAACAGCCCGGCCGCGTACCTGACGCACTGTAGGAGGAGGACGGTGTCCTCCGCGAGAAGCTCTTCACCGCCAGGCTCTGGCCACGCTGCTTCCGCCGCCACGCCGTCCGGCACTTGGAGTCGATGCTCTGCTTGATCCGATACCAGTCGGATTCCGTGATTCCAAACTTATAGAAGAGGTGACCTGGAAAAGCACAGCCCAGGGAGCTGGATCAGGCCTCCCCGCCCAGTCAGGGGCCTGCACAGAGCCCACTGCGGGCCTCAGCAGCACACACGTCACTTCACACTCGGGCTCTGGCCTGGTCCTACACCTGGGAAGGCGAGGAGCAGGCCACCCCAAACACACGTGCCCCGGGTGCCCCTCTCCCCGCCCCGACGCGGACAGCACCCGCTGTGAGGGACAGGCTTTCAGGAGCTCCGGGGAGCCCCTGCAGCCCACCGTGCTGCGCAGCCACCCTCCCCTCCGCTGGTCTCGGCTGGGACAGCACCTCGACAATGCTGCCCTGGGTCCATGCTGGCCCTGGGCCCGGCCCCGACCCTGCTCCGCCTGTCCTCAGACCACTCTCACCTCCTGCCATTTAGAGAAAGCCCATGGTGGCTGTGTTTGCATGAAGTCCCACAAACAAGGACTTTCGTTCTGTCAACATGCAGGTGGCAGCCCGGGTTTTCCTGACATAGATACCAGGTTATCGGCAAAGTCAAAGTGCATTTTTCTGTGCAGAAATGCATCATGACTTTCCCGATGACCCAATAAAAGCTTAAAAGTGCGCTGAATAAACGGTGGCCAGCTGGGGGCATGGCGGTTACGGCAGCGGGTCCCACAGGGCCAACGGCATGGGTCTAATTCCCAGGGGCTGCAGAGACATGCCAGGCACATGTGCGTGTGTGCCTAACACCCCGAGAGGAGCAGGGCTCGCGGCGCGGCCCTCCGCCATGGGGTGCTTTCTCTCTCTTTCCCGCTCCCAGGAAAGTGCACACGTCCTACTGCAGAAATCTGAGATCAGCCGCCCTTGCACTGGTACACATGTGAGGGCCCTGCCTTCTCAAATGAGTGCCCCCCACGCTGCAGGGGCAGGAGGCCATGCAGTCCCTGCTGGAGCCCCGCCCACACCCCGCCACACCTTGCTCGGCCTTCTCGGCACCTGACGGCGGGAGGAAAACTGACTGCGGACGAAGGACTACACGTTCTCCTGACCATGCCGACCTCCTGGCTGCCTTAGGCAGCTTCTCTGGTTAATGGAAATGAACAGATGAAATTCAAAATGTAATAGTTGAAGGAGAAAAGCTGAAAACGTCCTGTTTTGACTAAGAAAAGCACTGAGTTTGGATCATCTATGGAAAGTTAAATGACTGCCCATCCCTAAATAACCAAAGCGACGCGGAGCTCATGTTCCCAAGTGCCATGCTAAGTACCGGAGTCTCTTCGGTTTTAGAAACTCACTTCTCGCGCTTGCTGTGAGCATGTGCTTGAGGCGGGCCTGACCCCGAGTACGACGACCACCCTGCTGTGCTCCAGCTGGAAGAGACGGGGCCAGAGAGGCAGGTGCAGGGGAGTGCAGGACCCACGGCAGCTCAGCAGTGCTTCCAGCCTCCCTCGTGGAAGAAAACCCATGGCGGAGCAGCAGCTCTGACTTCTGATTCTGAGGTCACCTCTCAAATACGTGCTGAGCGCTAGATACCGGACGGGGCTTCCCGTCGGGGACGGCTCCCGGGTCCTGGGCTCCTCACTCACTCCAGTGACTGGAGAACCCAAAAAGGACCTGGCAGGCAGCATAGCCACACTGGCACCAGCAGAAAGCCCTGCAGGCGAGGGCCATGCGGGAGGCCGGGGCTCGGGTCCCAGACCAACCTGCACAGGTCACCAGTCAAGGGCAGTAGCTTTGCTTCTGGTCCTTGCCACAAGGAGGCTCGGCTGGAGGCCTGGACATGGCAGGACCCTGTGGAGGCCTCACTCGCTCACCTCATTAACACACACACACACACACACACACACACACACCACCCCCTCACAGTAAACACTTC